CTGACTGTGGATCCAAGTGAAACGAAATCCCTGATGATGTCCACCTTTCCTCCGTTTATCACGGTGTTGCTTATTGGTCCAGTTGTGGGGATTTTCGTTTTCTTTATGTTGAGGTGTAATCCATACTGAAGGCTGTGGTTTTTGATCATCAGTAAGTCCTTCGAGTCCTCTTCACTTTCAGCAAGCAAGGCTGTGTCATCTGCACATCACGGGTTGTTACTGAGTCTTCCTCCAGTCCTGATGCCACGCTCTTCACAGTCCAGTTCCTGGGGGTTATCTGCTCAGCAGACAGATGGAACGGTGAAAGGGTGCAACGCTGAGGCACTGCCTTCCTGACTTTAACCCACGCAGTACCCCTTGTTCTGTTCCTAGGCTTGAACCAGTGGCTTGCCCTTCTGCTGGCCAATCTTGGGATTGTTGCCTTCAAGCCTCTGAAGCCAGCAGCCTGCTGCACTGTCTGCCAATCGCGGATTCATCAGCCCCTGCAGCTCCAAGAGTCAGAAGAAACCCCCAGCTTGACATCTGACCCACAGACTTGGGACCCACCAGTTTCTGTAACGATGTGAGCCATTTAATGCCTCGAGGTGAATTTTCTCTCTCTCTCTCTGGTGTCGCTGGTTTTGCTTCTCTAGACAACCCAGCCTAAGACAGATGCTATTCCAAAATGAACATTAGAAAGCTTACTCAGCGGCCCCTGGAAAGGCTAAACACAGATTTACACAGGACCAGCAGCTCTGTTCCTAGTGTATACTCAAGAGAAGTGAAGACATACGCCCTCAAAAAACCTGTACATGAATGTTCCCATCAGCCTCATTCATAACAGCCAGAAAGTGAACGCCTTCCAAATGCCCATCAACAGAACGTGGTGTATCGTGTGTTCTGGTTCTCCAGTGCTGCTCTATCAGAAATACCACAGGTGGGTGGCTTGAACAAGTATTCTGTTACAGTTTAGGAGGCTAGAAGTCTGAGTTCAAAGTGCCAGGCTCTAGGGGCTGGGTGAAGGCCCCTCAACTTTGGGCTGCAGCTCTGCCTCTTGCTCCCAGCCCATTGGAGGCGTCTCTTCATTCAGGCAGCTTCTAGCTGCTGAAGCAGACAAACCCAAGGTCAACAAATAAAATGGTACAGTCCCAAGATTACCAAACAATATGGCAGGCCACTAGTTCACATCCAGAGAGTCCCAAGATTGGCAGGAAACAGCATGGTAGGCTGCTGAATGAAGACTTGGCTACAAGCAGGGCCCAAGTGGGCCAAAAAGCTAGAGACATTTCTCAATGCTGCTGCTTATATCCTGGAAGCAGCCACATCCCTCAGGCAGCTATACTCAGCTGCTCCAGTAGATTCCACCGTGGAAGTGATTACCAGTCTCATCATGGGGAATCACTACATCCAACTACCCAGCCACTCAAAACCAGGACTAGCCAAGTTGACACATAACCTTAACTACCATACCATGTACCAGAATATTTGGCCATCAGAAGAATGAAAAACTGATACGTGATACAATATGGGTGATCCCTGAAGACGTGATGCTAACTAACCGCAGACAAACAATTGAGGACAGACACTTGGCATTGCTGGGCGGTGGACGTTAAGTGCTTGACTTCCAGCTGAGAGCTTCTCAAGGCTGGGACCTTTGGGAGCAGATGGCCAGGCTGCTGGCTCCTCAAGTCCAACAGTTACCACATCACCTGTCCATCCTCCTCCACCCCAGAGAATTGAAAACATGTCCAGACAAAACCTGGGCGTGAATGTTGACAGTGACATCATTCGTCCCCAGTGAGTAGGAGGTTCCTCTTGAGGAGACCGACATGCGCTGGGACTGCAGTGGTGCAGTGTCCTTCTTTCTGTGCATTCCTGCCCCCCGAGCTATCTCCCCAAGCAAATACTGTCCTCTGCTCTCCCGTGGTTGATTGTTTAAGGAGCGTACCTCCCGGGTGTGAATGTTCACCTTATATGCCTGTGTATTGTTTGGCTACAGAAGCTCTGGTGGCATAGTGCCTAAGGCATTTACTTGACTGCTAACCAGAAGGCTGGCAGTTCAAACCCACTAGCCACTCCTCGGAGGGAAGCTTGGGCAATCTACTTCCGTAGTGATGCTGCCTCAGAAACCCAAGGAGGGGTCACTGTGAGTTGGGTCTGACTCAATGGCAGTGAGTTTTTTTAGACTGTTTGGCTGGAAGCCATGGAAGTGCAGTGAGTTCAATTCCAGGCCCAAGGGTGACGAGGGGCCATAGTCCTAGAGGTCTCACTACTCTCTATCAGACCAGTAGGCCTGGTCCTTTTTTATGATTTTGAGTTTTGTTCCACATTTCTCTTCCACATTGTCTATCCAATATCTCCTACACTGGTCCCTTTCCAAGTGGCTGACAGTGGTAGCCAGGCACCACCTGGTTCTGGTCTCAAGATCACGTAGGCTAAGGCTGCCATAGTCCACTAGTCGTTGGACTGAGCGTCACCGTGGTCTTTGGTTTTCTTCATTCTTTGCTCCAGATGAGGAGACTCATTATTGCGTCTTAGATGGCCACTTGCAAGCTTTTAATACCCCAGTCCCTACTCACCGAAGTTGAACGTAGAACAATGTTTCTGTGTATCATGTTATAGCAGTTGAGCTTGATGTCCCCCCTCCCCATGGTCCCAAGCCTGGGGGCCCAGTGACTCACTCCCTCACGGTGTTTGGCTGTGTTTGGTGTTTGGTTTGTGTCCAAATTTCGCCCCATCTGCTCTGTTACATACATGGCCATTCTCACCTAGGCTGTTACTGTTAACATGAACACAGGTCTTTCTCCCGCCAAACCCCTGCTGGGCTCAACTGCCGGCCTTTCCATTTGCACCCAAGTGCTCAACCCTTTGCACCACCAGGGCTCCTGATACTTCTTTTTTGGGGGAGGGGAGACTCAGCTAGTTTCCTGTGGTCATCTCAGTCCCCTGAATGGAACAGGATCTCCCCTCTGCTTCTAGCCATGTGATGGCTGGCTCTTGAGATGCAGCAGTCCAACGTGCTACTTCTCCCACGTGAGCGCAGGCCACGAGCGCCAAACCCGCCCCCAGCCACCCCGCAGGAAAGCACACAGACCAGGAAGGCGGCTTGGGCAGATTGGGAGTTTATTTGCTGCAGTTCCTTGGTGCTAGTTTACAAGGCAAAAAGACAAACAAAAAACAACTGAAATAATAATAATATATATTTTTAAGAACCCTGTCAACAGCTTTCAGTCATGTCTTTATATTTTATATTTTGACAAAACTTTTCTCTTTAAAACAAATACAAAATAACGTTGGAGGAGAAAACTGTACATGGTTTATTTACACCTCTGATAAACAGACGAATACTGATCCAACGCCTCTGTCCAGGCGCCTCCTTGAGAACCAGGCGCAGGCTTGGCCAAAGGCCCCAAGCCAACTGGTCTCCAGCAAGACCAAACTTGCTGGTCCCGCTCTGGGTCTCCCGCCAGAAGTTCATGTTTCCGGCCTGGACCGTGGCCCTGACCAGCTGTGGCATAAAGATGTCTGAAGCCCCTCCAGGTAGGACCCAGCTACCCTTGACTCCTACACGAAGAGGGAGACCCTGCCAAGGCTATTTCCAGAGATGCTGACCCGCCCTAAAAGGCAGAGGAGCCTGCAGCCTGGCTCGTCTACTCCCACCACCCTTTGTGGGAAGCCCTCTGCACTGTCCAGGCCGGGGCCAGTGGAGGTGGCGGCCGAGGCGACCAGGCCAACCCACGCTTGTGCCACTGGCACCAGGCCTAGCGTGAGTGGCAGCAGGTGGTCCATGAGAGTCCCTGAGAGAACACCGGGTTCCACGGCTCCCTCCACACCAAGAGTGAGGAGGACCCGGTCAACTCACGCGTTTAAAAAAAAAAAACAAAACAAAAGACAAGAGGCAGACGTCTCCCCCTCTCTCTAGGAAACGGCCTGCAACCCTGCCAAACAGAGCAAGGCTCCCTCCCCCGGCGGGCCCACAGTGCACGACAGTGCCTGGGGGGGGCCGGGTCTGAGGCAGGAGAAGCTAGGCCTGAGGCGGTCTGGTAAGATCCACTCCCTCCTCTAAAACAAGGATGGAGTTCTAGGAACAGGGAGAAACACCAAACGGGAAGCAGGTAGTCCCAGAGCCTCGCTGGGACCGCTGCCTCAGTTTTGGTTACAAGGTGTTTAGCTCAAGGAAGGATGCTGACCTCATGTTAAAGCCCAAGAAGAACGTGGATTCTGAACGAGGACAGACAGCTGAAGCCTCCAGACGGTCCTCTTCCCTCCTCAGTGCTCCGGAGGCCCTTGAAGTGGACCAGGTTGGCTGAAGCGGCTGCCCTGTGTGCGGCCGTGCAAGTCCCCAAGGCCACCTTGCCACTGGGCTCTGACTCGTGACAGGTCTCAAGTCCTCGTGGCAGCAGCTGCTCCCTCTACCCCTCTCCATCCTCGGTTCCACCCTGCGCCCAGAAAGGCTCTGTGCCACAGAGCGAGCACCCCGAGAGGCTGGGCGGCCCCCCAGGTCCCTGAGCCCGGCCAGAGCACTTCAGCAGCTGCTCCTCCCAGGGGAGCACCCACATCAAACAGGCAGAGCACCGGGACAGCATTACGTTTATCTTTGCCTCCTTGGAAAAAAAAACCCATCTTTACAGCATGTGGCTTCTCTTCCATTCCGCCTTCCCTTAGGCTGTGACGGCGCGGGGCCTGTGCGTCAGTGGTGGGGGGGAGGCGGCTTCACAGGAGTGAGGAGGCCAGCAGTTGGCCCCAGCTCTGCCATCAGACCTCACAGGGGTGGCGTCGTGGGGACGCTGGGGCTGCCGAGAGCTCCGTCCTCACGAAGGCTGAGCATCAGGGCTTCCAGACCCTCTCCCCCACGGATCACAGCCCACCCATCTCCCACTCAAAGAAACAGCAAAGCTGAAGCTGGTCTCTAGGGTTCCAGGCAATGCCTGCACGGGGCAGCTCCTGCTTGGCCACCAGCTCCCGTTCCCAGGGCCAGGGCGGCACGGCGCCTGCAGACTCGGTGCCAGCGGCCGTGCTGCTCAGTGTCTTTTTGTGGAGGAAACCTTCTTCTTGCGTGCCGCCAACATCTCGTAGAACGGGTCCCTGCTGATGGCCGCTCTGGATCACAACAGGAGAAACAGAGGAGGTGTGAGGACACAGAGTGACAGAGGGGGGCTGGAATTCCAGGAGGGCTTCCCAGCGGCGCGTGCCCATGGCCCTGCTCCGCTAGAGGGCCGCTGCAGAGGCCAGGCCTCTGTCCTCAGCCCTCCCTGTGGCCACACCTGGCTCAAAAGTTCTAGGGACACAGGGACATATAACAAGACACATCTCCTTTGACCTGTTCCAGCCTAAGAGCTGATCCAAGTCTGGGGTCAGACTCACTACTCGGGCCTCCAGGAGAGTACTCTACTCTGACGTGGGGAAACCAGCGTGGCGCTCAGTGCCTTTCACGCCCTGCAGCCCTCCTCTGGCATGACGCGCTCCATGAGACCAGTGACTGTGTGGAGCATGATCCTCCCTCGAGCGTCAACTCCACACAACCACCAAAGCACCAGCATGGGCTGGGCGCTGAGACACAGTGACCAGGACCAACCCATCCCAACTCAAGTTTGCTGTCAGGGCAGGGGTGAGGGGAAGAGAGCAGGACAGCTGTGTGCAGATGAGGCAGCCGGCTGGTGGCCACTGACCACTACTCTCTGTGATTCTTCAACTTTCCACAAGGTAACCATCCAAAAACTCTGAAGCCGGTTCACATTTCCAGAAAAGTGTTATACACAACTGGCTCCCCCAAGTGAGCGGCACACAGCTCGGTGCCTGCCGCATGGCACTCACAGTCAGTGAGGGAGGGACAGGAGTCCGTTCTGAGCTGACTGGGAGCCCATTCACCAAGCTCCTGATTCCAGGAGAGAAAGGACCCTCGGTTGCTTGGGGAGACCGGACCCCCACAGTACCAGGCACGTCCTCCAGGGACCTCGCCACGAAGGTATCTGACCACTCGCTGGTTTAAGAAGGGAACACAACAAGTCAAACTCTGGCTTTGTTCTGGGGGCTCTAGGGACCCTGCTGTTCCTTGGCGGGCTGTGTGTGTCTATGGAGGGTCCTGCGTCACCCTCGTGTCCTGTCGGAAGTAGTGTTTGGCAGCCAGACAGATGGAGGTTCACACCGGGCTCTGGCACCTTCCTCGTGCTGCTTTCCAACCCCCGCCATCTTTCCTGTAAAATGGAGGCTCTCTGGCCCTCACAGGGCTCCCGGGAGGTCGGGAGGACACCACGAAGCAGGCACCACAGCTCCTGGCAGACGCAGGCTCTCACTCAGGCCGCCGTCACTGCTGGGGCTGCCCCTGTCTGTCAGAGACCTGCTGGTGTGGCCCACGCACTGCTGACAGCCCTGGGGCAGTGTGCGGGAGACCTGTGGCCTGGGCCTCCTTCCAGCGCCCCAGCAGTACAGGTGAAGAGCCTCCCGCCCCTCAGAGCCCTCCAATGCTCCCGCTGTCTCCAGCTCTTTCTCTGAGGCAAGGATTAGAGCCAAGGGCGGCTGACACTTAGCTCTGTGGGCCGCTGCACATGTCAATTCCTGAGTAAGACGGCTTGGTGTGGAGAGCAGCACCACTTCTTAGGACAACATCACTAACCTCACCGTGCCTTCCTCTCCTCGTCCATAAACTGGGATGAAAACCCTACTACGCCTGCCCTTCCCAGGGCTGTGGCGAGGACTCAAGGACCGTGCGGCACAGTGCTCAGCACAGCGCCTACGAGTTGAGCAGGGAGCCCTGCTGGCGGGAAACAGAGCTGGCTTGGGAGCAGAGCCACAGGGGCCGAGCAACCACCAGGCCAGGCCTGCGCACGGCCTAACGAGAGGCCAGGGAGATTCCCGACGGAACTCGAAAGAGCGCTTCATTTTCTGACTACAGAGGTTAAAAACCACACGAAAGACCAAGTGCACAGGTACAGCAAAAGGTGTTCTTGAAGAATGAGGGAGGAGAGACCACAAACAACCACGTATCCAAAGGTGCTGTAATACTGTCGTGTAGGACACTGACACCACAGTGACTTGAAACAGCACGGGACGTGTGGACACTGTGACACCGCGGTGACGTGAACAGTGCAGGACGTGTGGGTGCCGTGATACCATGGTGACGTGAACAGTGTGGGACATGCAGGTGCTGTGACCCTGTGGTGACGTGAACGGTGTGGGACATGTAAGTGCTGTGACCCCACAGTGACGTGAATAGTGCAGGACGTGTGGGTGCAGTGGCCCCGCGGTAACGCGAACGGGGCGGGACGTGTGGGTGCTGTCAGTCCACAGTGACGCGAACGGGGCGGGACGTGCGGGTGCTGTCAGTCCACAGTGACGTGCACAGTGTGGGGTGGGAGGGGCTGTGATTGTAACAACGTAGGGCGTGCAATGAAGTACAGAGATGGAGCAATAGGAGTGACTCGGATATAGACAGGAATTTGATGACCAACAAAGAAAGTACTTTAAAAATCAGCAGGAAAATGGATTAATAAAAAATGGTGTGCGGACAGTTGGGTGCTGGAGGGAACAAAGTTAGTCTTCACTTTAAACCACACGTGAAAAAGAAATTCTAGGGAATGAAGAGCTGTGAAGAAGGCTGACTCTGAGGAGACTCAGATCTGGGGACTTAGGACAGGTGACAACAGTGACACTGGCAAACTGCCACCACCCACCGCGGACACAGTTGGCGCTCCGAGGTCAAGCAGAAGCAAAGGGCCTGTGGTGAGACGTCAAAGATCAGGCCTCTGCAACCTCCCACCCACACAAGTCCCTGGAGAGTGTATTAACACAGGTTCCTGGAGCATCGTTGGGGTGGCAGAGATTCTGAGAGCTCCCTGGTGAGGCCACTGCTGCTGCCCCTGGACAACGCTGAGCATGGAGGGCAGAGGCGACAGCCACAACCACAACCACAAAGGCCGGCACATACCAAGATCCTGAGCAACAGGCACACAGCCTTCCTTGGGGCCCCTCCTCCGTGACGAGCCAGGAAGAAGCTAAAGCTGCATTTCGAGGCAAGGAGGCAAGAACCACCAGGACCAGCTGGTGGCTTCTTAACCGACGCTGCACTGCTTTCTGTCACAGAAGTCCCACCTCACTGCCTGGCCAACCTCCACCACCATGGCACTCCCACGCGGACTAGCAGGATCAGAGTTCAGATCTAGGAGGAACACAGCTCTTTGGAGCAAACCTCTCACTCCCCTAGTCACGCCACGGCCAGCCACTGACACGCCACGGCCAGCCACTGTCATGCCACGGCCAGCCACTGACAAGCCATGGCCAGCCACTGAGCCCCAACCTCGTGCCAGCTTCTGCTCAGGCCATCAGGGGTCCCCTGAAACTGTGGGAAACACATGTCCCAACCGTGGGGACAGTCCCTGGTCAAGGGACAATGTGCCCAGGAACATCTTCATGGAGAACCATGTGTGAGAGGCACTCCACGAAGGTCCTACGGGGTGGGGAGACACCTGCCCACCCCTCCCCATCAGCCCCATCAGCACCAGCAAGGTAGACAGCTCCCGTCTCCATGACGACCATCACCTCCATTGAATGACCACTCTGAGAATGAGATTTACTTCCTCAGTGATAAATGATAAAGGAGGCCCGTGACCAGACCCACGGCCTGGCAGTGTGCTCACCTGCTCCCTTGGTCTGTGAGGTGCACCTGGGGCACCTGGGTGAAGTGGCTGGAAACACAGAGAGCCCCCTGCAAAGTCAGCAGGGAATCCATCCCACCCACGCTATTCCCTGGGGATCCCAGACCCAAAGAATGGACAGCGCACATGATCCCGAGGCTCGACAGCTGCCAGCTGAGTTCAGGGTCAATCGGGTTGGTTTCCCGTCTCTGGGGGCCACGTACTTAACACACTTGATCCACTCCTCCTTCTCCTCGGGCGTCGGCGCAGAGATGCGGTACACCGTGTGGTTCCCCTCCACCACGCGTCCGTCCGCCTCCGTCTTACAGGCCTTGATCACCTGGTCTTTGTTGTCAGGGATGTAAAGCTCGAAGCAGTTCTGCGAGTGGAGAGAGAGGGAGCAAATGCTGAGACGTCTCAGAAAGCTGCTGACCAGGCGGGTCCGCGTCATGGCCAGAGACACCGTTCTGACCTCCGTAAAACGCAGGCGGAACACAGATTCCGCCGGAAATGAGAAGCCTGGAAGGTGGGTCCTGAAGGCGGTAACTAGCTAAACGGCCTCACTGACAAAAACATTAGCTCAGCAGATGGTAGCTCTATTCCTAACTCAAGGAGCTCTGGTGGTAAAGTGGTTAAGGTATTCAGCTGCTAACCAAAAGGTTGGTGGTTCAGAAGATGAGGCAGTCTGCTGCCATAAAGATTTATAACCTTAGAAACCCGATGGGGGGGTCATTGTGAGTCACCGTGAGAACTGACTTGATGGCAGTTTTTACTCCGAAAGCATGTCAAACAGGGAGAGGGCTGTAGGTTATCTAATGCCTTTGAAAACCAAGCCGGCAATGTCACAATACCCAAAGAAAGGGACAGTATTCTATCAGGAGTCCCAAGAACACAGAACAAGAGGTCCCATCACAAGTGTGTCTGCTGCTATTTGAAGAGGATGGTGTCCACACCTCATATGACACTCAGTAAGCAATAAAGGGGAACAGGAGGGTCTTCGCAAACTTCTTTGGCGTGGCTGGGGAAGAACTCTAAGGAAAAGCAGGAAATGGTACTTCACAGCTGTGCTGCTAATTAAACGTGGTGATGTCACTCTTTCTCAGGGAACTTCAGTGGCCGCCCCCGTCCTCCTCACAGTAAATACTCACTGGCTTTTTGGAGTCCTCCACCTCCCGGATACTCAGGTTCTCCAAGGGGATGATGCCTCGGGGCTCCTTATCCTACAGACGACAGGAGAGAGGACACCCCCAGTCACTCCGAGGACACGGACTCACTCAAACCCACCCACCTTCACCCAAGACTCACAGTCGCCAACCAGCCCTAGGGCCTGCACGTGCAGCTCTACAACAGGGCAAGGGTCAAGACCACAGGCACCATCAGTCCAGTACGAACTAGTATCAAGGGTCCTTTACGAGTGGAAAGCCCGGGGAAGCCAACAGGCGCCTTGAACGGCCTCTGCGACAGCCTGGGGGCCTCTGGCAGGGAGAACGCAGCTTTTCACCTGCAACAGGGCCTTGCTTCTCTCCCGGCTCCGGCCCCAGCAGCTGCGGAAAGCCCTCCCCAGCCATGCAGCAGGCGTCCTGCTCCGTGCCCCACGCCCGGGCCTGTCTCTGTGGCGGGTGCAGGGGGTGTCCTGCTCTGTGCCCCACGCCCGGGCCTGTCCCTGTGGTGGGTGCAGGGGGTGTCCTGCCGTGTGCCCCATGCCCGGGCTCATCTCTGTGGTGGGTGCAGGTGGTGTCCTGCTCCGTGTCCCATGCCTGGGCGTGTCTCTGTGGTAGACAGCATGGCCTCTGTGTAGGCCTCCCCTGCCTGTCCCCCACAGGCCAGGCAGTGCTCAAGGAGGGACCCTTCCTTCCTGACAGTTCCTTCTGGATCAAAAACAGCCCCTCAATGTCCGCCCAGAGCAGAGCTCAGAGCCCTGCCACCCCCAGACCCTCAGGGGCTCCCCTCAGTGAAGCACACCCCCTACACCCAGTTCTACCTGCCCGAGGTCTGCCTCCATCCCTGTCATGTTCTGATTACCAGTGACGGTCATCTTTGCCCGGCCAGGACTGGAACATCCCTGGTCTGTCACAAGGCCTGGCCATCTCTTAGCCTCAGCCCTGTGCTCAGTGAGAACAGTGCTCACCCCCCGTCGTCCCTTCCTGAGGTCTGTCTACTGAGCCCCTCTCTCACAGTCGGGTTTGGCATCAGTTCTGTCAGAGGGGGCCTGGGGCTGCCCCCACGTGCTGGCTTATGACTGACTGGGCCCTCTGTCGCGCTGGAAGAGGCTCCTGCCCACTTTCCTCCCTTCGGGGCTGAACGGAGCCAGGCCTGTTGTTTCTCGGCACTGAAAGCTCCTGGAGGCGGTCTGCTTGCTCTGCTCGGCCACCTGGAGGCCGTGCTCCAAGGCCAGTGTCTGCTGGGCGCCTCCTTGGTGCCGAGCTCCCCAAGACAAGCTCTCCTGAAGCACAGGGGCCTCTCGGAGGGACGGATGCAGGTTTTCTCTCCTTTCCAGGGCAACGACCAGCCCTGGGCGCACAGGTACCCCACACTCTGGGGCTGGGGTCCTATTACCTACTTTCCTGTTTTGTTAATTCCTTTTTATAACACGTCTCTTCCTCAGACTCTGTGCCTGTCTCAGGCCTTCTCTCTGAGAGAGATGATATTTTTGGCTATTTCGGTCCCAGTCTGTGACATTCTAACTTACTTATTATTAAGTACGTTGTAATTCTTCAGTTACCGAGCTTCGGTTTTCATTGAAGTGTAGCCCTCTAAACGGTGCTGGTGTCTCTGAGAGAGACGTCCTGCTCTCCTCCCACGGGCCAACAGAAGGAATGTCCCTTCCCACTGTGTCTCAGGCCTCCTTCACTTCTCCTCCGGAATCTGAGCCCCAGTCGCGGCTGCTCCCATCTCCCCTCCAGGGGGCACTCTTCCCAGCCCAGCCGCAAGCCCCTCCAGCGTGCCCACGCTGCCCTTGGGACCATGTTCCCCTGCCTGGCTTCTCTGTCCCTGTCTAGAACCAGTCCATGGCATCTGTAGGGTCCCTGACTCTGAGGTGTCTTAGTTCTCCTGCTCTGCCGCCTCCAGGAAGCCAGGAAGCAGCAGGATGAAGGGGACTGTCTCCCACTGGCCCTGGGCAGACGCCGTGCTCACCGTCGTGTATTCGAAGTAATACAGGCAGTTGTCGGTCAGGATGAACCAGCGCCGCTTCCACGTCTTCACCCTGCCACCTGCAGAGCAAGCAGAGACTGTGCTCGACGGGAGGTCAGGCCCACACACCCCACCACACACACAGCGCTCTCTGACGGGGCGGCGGGAGGGCGTGGGGACCACGGCAGAATGGCATCAGAATGAGACACAGAGCTGGGCGGAAGCATCTTTATGACATCAAAGTGAGGGGACAGAGCCAGCAAGCAGTCTAGTGTGACACCTGTGGATGGGGTCAGACAGCAGGATGGGGGACACACAACGTAAACCAATGAGGGCGAGAAAAGCGGCAGCCAAAGGCCTCCCTGTGTGGCAGAAGCTGGCAAACAGAGCAAGGGGCAGGGCCAACCTCCCGGGCTGTACTGCCAACCAGCAAGCAGCCCGGGCCTCAAGGGGCGGGGTTTGACCGCCCAGGGGTGGGGAGGAGGCAGGAGGGAAGCCACCGTAATCCCTTCGTGGGCGGGTCTACAACATCCGGGGACACGGCACCCCACCTCCTGCAGCTTTGGCCTCTGCCCTTCTTTCCTGGTCGGGGTGACAGCTACAGGGGCTTTCAGGCTCAGGCCAGGGCCCTGAAAACAGTATCCCTGAGTCGCGAGTGAGAAGCAGGGCCAGGCTCTCTCACCTGTTAAGGAGAGGCCACCCTCGGGAGCTTGCTCGGTTCTGGGCTTCTCACCTGGAGCTCCTACGGAAACTCACCAGCTGAGGGGCCGTGGGCACAGGAGCACTGGGTGGGGGCTGCAAGCTGGTGACAGCTTCTGGAGCCCTCATGAGCGTTTCTCAGTAAAAACCTTGGGGCCACGAAGTGGGGCTGAGGCAGAGGCCGAGGAAGGGAGAGGGACCACGTCTCGCTCTTAAGATGGGACACCACCCACAGGTCCCCCTCCTCTGCTTACCCTGGGGCGCACGGCCGTACCAGCACCTGCCCGGGGGCTGGCCCTCGTTCAGGTGTGTGCAGCTGTTCGTCAATGCCCTGGCAGCATACACTCTTGGGTAAGCCTTGGCTTACAGAGAACATCCCTGCTCCAATCTTCCACACCAACAAGGGCTCTAGCACAACCGCCTCTCAGGACACCAGCTGTCCGGTCTTGGCCTTGCCTGCCCTCACCACAAACCACTGAGCAAAAACCAGGGGCTCAAGGAAACTCCCAGTTGCCGGGGCACCCGTGTGCTTACACCAGAGAAGGCTAGCAGGGGCAGGGCGTGTGGCACTGTGTGCATTCCCTGTGGAAGCAGTACCAGGACAGGCCCTGAGGACAAGCCTAAGGCCCACCGTCAGCTGTCCGGTTCCCGACAGCCCAGAGCCAGGTCAGGAGGGGCCGCCCACCCGTCCAGCCTGTGCTGACACCAAACGAAGCAAGGTGGCCGCCTCCCAGCCCCTCCTGACTCTGATGGGAAGCTCGCCTCTGGTCCCTACTGGTCAAAGGCATGAGATGAAGGAGATGCCATGGATGGATAAGAGGACATGCGTGTGGCAAAGGGGGGTGGGCGGGATGAGAGTCATTGAGGAGGAGATGAGGGAGATGGGGGGCAGAGCAGACTTGCTGTCAGAACAGAGCGCCACCCCACTTGCAGAGTGCTGAGAACCTCGGTTTGAGCAATTTCCTGGGCTCAGCACACAATGAACACCAACCCATGCTGCCCCCCATGCACCTCCATCATGGACACTCGGGACTCAGGAGAGGGTGGGGACAGGGTCAGAGGCCAAAGGAGCAAGATGGGAGGGGCACGTACAAGGCTGGGGGCACTCTCTGATGACAGGAGAGGCTGTGCCCCCGGGACGCCCTGCTGCGTTACAGAGGCCTGTGCCCTGGAGTACCGCCGCAGGCCCAGGGAAGGCGACAGACATGGACAAGCGGACAGATCAGTGCGCACCCAGGACAGTCCCTACGGAACTCATGGACCCCGGCTGCTCAGAGTCCGCCTCTCCACCCTGCGAATGCTGGTGCTTGGGCCGTCCTTCCCAAGGCTGGCTCTGCTAAGTCACATTGGAGCAAAAGCCTGGCAAGCTCTTATTCCTGAAACTCAGCCGGTGGGGTGCAGCCCCCACCAGCCCCACTGAGAGGCCGGGTGCAGGCTTATAACAAAGCCTCCGGTGAAAGGGGAGGAAGAAAACCTAAGACGAGGGCCAAGGTTGTGATACCCACCTGCCCAATGCCCAGAGAAAGAGGGGTTTTAGGGTGCTTGCTTGTTTGTTAACTCAACCGGGCACTGTGCCGCCTTTAGGAGAATTAAATGGAGGGGTTTAGGGTGCTCGGGAGCTCTGATGGTGTAGTGCCTAAGGCACTTGACTGCTAACGAGAAATCTGGTGGTTCAAACCTACCAGCCACTCCTGGGAAGGAAGGTTGGGCAATCGACTTCCATAGAGATATTGCCTCGGAAACCCAAGGAGGGGTCGCTATGAGTCGGGTCTGACTTGATGGCAGTGAGTTTGAGTTAGGGTGTTTGCTTGTTAACTCCACTGGGTGCTGTTCTGTGTTTAGGAAGCCCATTTCCCACTTCATGCCAGCAGACGTCAGAGGTGCCATATAATTTCTTTCCCGAATTTGCTCACTGATGAGGGTATGTCAGAAGCTGGGGCTCCGGGAAAGCAGAGGACCCTTCCCCTCTCCTCTTCCTCCCTTCAGAAAAGACGTCCCAGCAGGCTGATCCAACAGAGACAACCTGTGCCTGCCAGGAAGTCCAGAGAAAATCCAGGGGGCACTTCCTCTGCTTTCCCCAACCCATTCGGCCCGTAGTTTCTAGCTTCGCCACATTGCATAAAGCTCAATTATTCTGCATCTTGGTGTCTGGCCAGCTGCTGCACGAGACCCTGCTCCTGCGAGGTGAACCGTGACAATGGCTCACCCCCCGATCCTGGTCAGTTCCCTAGGGACTGTACGGGGAATGAGAAGCAGCAGTCACACCACCACCAGCAATTAAAAGCAAATCACCCCAGAGAGCACAACCAGCAAACGCTGCAGCGGGCACAGGGGCCTGGGCAGAGCGAGCGAGCGAGCAGGTGGGGGTTACATACCTCCTGGAGTTGGGGGCAAGGAAAAGGAGAGCCAAAATCATGGAACATACAAATGAGGGAGAAAAGAAAATTAAAACAAAGAATTCCCACCAGGCTCCTCATCTCACAGTGCACGTATCAGTCACATTCCCATCTGTTTGAAGAAGGCACCGTCCATGAAAACACGTGGGGCCGGCCGTGGACGGGGGTGTCACGTAGGCCACGCTTGCTTGGTCACGGCAAGCTGTGAGGCACTACTGACAACCTTGCCCCTGTGCTGCCGGAAACCCACTCTTTCCAGGCTAATGATTATGGTCTATCTGAATCCAGAGCAAAGAGAGCTCTCTCCAGGGGAAACTGAATGTGTGTTTAGATGACTACATTGGTTAAAGTATGTGTGAGCACACACACATGTACACCCATGGGTATATATGTACACACGTGTACACACAAGGACAGAGTCTGACGGATACGTGCACACAGACACACACACACACTACAGAAGGCTGAAAAGTCTACCTTCTGCAGTACAGACGGACAGGGCTGACTCTAAGTGTGCTACACGGGCTTAGTGAGGTTTAAACACAGGAACCCAGGACTGAAACTAGCCCCCCACTCGGTTAACACTTTCCTGGGGTACAGAGGGCCTCATGAATGTGCGTGCCACCCTGGCGCAGCGGCCACGGTCATCTCCGCACTGCCCTCGTTTGAGCATCTGGGTGGCCAAAGCTGACTGTCGGCATCAGCACTGAAACACATCACTGGCGGGGAAGCAAGCCCAGGGCTGGGCGTGGCTTTAAGATTTCCAGCAGGTCTGCTGTCAACACACTCTGCTTGGCAGTAAGGGTGCAGAGCAGCTGGCGGCCTAAGGGTCAGCTGGATAGAGCTGGACATCAAAGGTTCTTCTGGTGACAATGAAAGGCCAGCCAGTGCCAGGGACGTCCTGACTCTCATCAGTTAAGTGGGGCTTTAGGGGAATTTATCAATTACGTCACTACGCATAAACACAGGCCCAGGACAGGCTTTTTTAAAAGCCCGTAATTATCGATACAAATCCTACTATTACCAGAACTGGTAAGTACTCACAGATTGCCAACATGCCAGTAACGGCCAGTCTCACGGGGAGGAGTAACTAGGCCGGGAAGGGGGGCCGTTCTAACTGAACACTGCTCAAATGCAAAGGCTGCTGCCAGAGAAGGCCGAGCACTCTCTGGGGCCACAAAATGACATGAGAGCCGAGGGCCCTCTCTGCTCGGGACAAGCCCTCACACCAGGCTGGGCGGTGCCTGCAGGCCCGACTGTCCTGGCCTTCTGTCACTCCATCCCCCTCACGGCGAGGGTTGCCCACAGACCTCGTCAGCTTTTCTGAATGAACAGATCGTGAATGTGGCTGCTTCGGGTTGGAAGGAGGGAAGCCACTGCCCAGGATGAGGGAGTGCTGTGGGTGGAGCTGCAGCCGGGGCGCTAGGCTTGCCATGCACGCTGCCTGGGGAGCGGATGCGGGTGATGATGCACTGGGGTGGGGGGCAGGAGCACCAGGCATGATCTGTGTGACGGGAACTAGAAAGACGGACACAGCTGCCACCCTCCCAACAGCCGAGAGGCTAGGAAAGGGGACAGGGCCAGGTTGTACGGGACTGCCTCCAGACACCACCTAGTGAATAAACTCACGTGGAGACGTGGACACAGACACACACGGGCAGTGAGGACAGCTGAGCACGGCTCGCCCCCAGGAGTCACCGGGCTCTGGCTGTGCGTCTCTCCTCTCGCTGGAGGGGTCTCCGTTCTCGTGGGATCCCCCCGGCGCACCCAGTCGCCCACCCATCGCCCTGTCGCACATGGCCCCTCTTCCCAAGCCCCCGTGTAGGGGCATCAGCCAGCGCGTCACGCACCAAGCTTGAGCAGCCAGCCTTCTCGGTCCGGGTTGAAGAAGGTGTGAGTGAGGTCGTTGCCATCATCCTCTGGGATCTTAAAGGGCTCGTTTTTTATGCTCTCATACAGGTTCTGGGGAGAAAGATGGCAAGGCATGCCTCCCATCCCAGAAACGCCCCTCCCTCCCTCCTCTTCAGTCAACAAGCCTTCACGGTGCCCACAGCACACCACAACTGCTCCAGGTACTGACACCACAACAGTGGGACAGCCCCCTCCCCATAGCTGAGTCGAAAGACAATGTCAATGCAATTGTCCCCACGCAACTGAGCAGGGAGAGGAGGTGACCTCTCGCCAAGCTCTCAGTCCCGGGTTAGAAACTGCTGTCCCCTTCCTGATTGCTGAGCTAGGCCTCAGGGCCAGCTTCTTAAGGAAGTTCACATAATGAAGGGTGAGAGGGCCAGGGCCTGTGCCCACTCCTGACTGCGACCCTGGCCCCAGGAGCGTGGTAGCAGGGTGGGCACTGCCTCGCTGGGCTCACCCGCAGGAGCTCCTCAGGCAGGTCCCCTCCGTCGTTGATGCCTCGGTTCATGGCAATGAACCTCTCCACGGTGGGCTTGTCCTTGACGTTGGGGTTGTGGAGGCTGGTGTTCAACATGATGATAGCAAAGGACAGCACATAGCAAGTGTCTGAAGACGAGAGAAGGGCAAGGGGGAGACGCCCGTAAGGACTCAGGAAGGTTCCACCCTAAGAACAGGAAACGCCAATGGGACCGAGAGCAGAGAGCCATGCTCCCCTGAAGGGGGACAGCGCCTCAGTGAGCCCCAGGCACCCTGCGACCAGAGAAGCACAAGCAATACAGACAGCAGGGCCTTCCTCCAAGAAGGATTCATGTGGACGTGCACACGTGTGTATGTGAACGCACACCACGGCATCTGGGGGTTGCAGCTAGACTCAACACCAGACATCTGGGGATGCGGCAAGATAACTGGGGCAGCATGAAACGAATTTCACTGTTTACTAATTTCTTTTTACAACAAAAACATAGTCATGAATAACTTTGGTAACTACAAAATAACAGTAACTAAACTGTGAATGAAACTCAAACTAATTTCCTGAAGAGAGGCACCTCCTGGAGAGAGCGAAGGGCAGGGCGGGTGCACCACAGCCTACACCTGCTGGGCTCACGGGGGCCCGAGGGTGAGAACCATCACTGTACTGAAAGCTAGGCGCGCTTGCTGACAGGAGGATGTGGCAGAGAGAAACGTGAACACAGCCTCACGTTTAGACGAGAAGACAAATCACCTCCCAGGTCCCTTGTTTTCCTCCACAGGAAGGGCCATGTGCAGGTACCACAAAGGTGTCCCGCACACAGCAGCCGCTGGGAACCAACACCTACACACACTTCTCACTCCTGCCTCTGCTCAGCTCTCTACCACCTCCTCGTGCCGCTCAAATATTTTTCAAACACCTGATGTTTTAACAGGTGCCTATTTCATGACTCAGAGAGAGGCAACTGCTCCTCCTGTTCCCTTATTGGGGGGCTTGTGGGTGGTCCCCAGCTTGCCGCTATCATCAACATCCTTGACACACGTGTCCTCAGGCATGACTCTAAGCCCTTCGGTTGTAGAGATCATCTAGTGCCCAGCACAGACCCTTGCGTCAGACGAACCTGTGGACTGGAAGACCCCGTGATTGCACTGGCAATACCGCTGCGCAAACGCCTCCATCATCCGGTCGATCTTCTGCGCCTCTCCGGGTAGCCGGAAACTCCACAGGAACTGCCTGGTGGGAGACAGGCTGTGTTACGGCCTCAGGAGACGATGTGCTCCTCTGGGAAGGGTTACACGTCCAGTCACTGCGGGTGTCCAACAGTGGACAGCAGCTCTGAACGGACAGACTCGTCCTCCTACAGAACTGTTATCTTAACCAAAGGGAGAATATGCGGAAAAAAGGAAGATGCTCCTGCTCAGAACAGACCTCCTGGACAGACTGAAATACGGACAGCGCTCACTGTAAGCAAACCCCCATTTCTAGGCAACGTGATGAGGCCAAAAGGAGGGATGGCTTCCTCATCAAAGGGCCCACAGCCGAGCCATGAAGGAGGTCAGTGCAAGCTACAACAGCCCCGGCAGGGCCATTGCCGGTTTACCGTGGTCCCCTGAAGGCCACAGAGCCGCTGTTATGACAGCACCTGCAGGAGTGGACGGACACACAGCTGGTGTTACAGCATCCTCATGACAACTCTTAAGGGGCACAAGGTTTAGCAAAAGCGAAGGCTGACTTCTCTCTCTGTAGAGCGAGACACGCAACGCTTGCCTCCGACTCTGGGAAAGCAGCGAAAGCGTCTTCTAAACTGAAACTGAGAAGATACTTAAGTATTCGTCGATCTCCCTAACGCCCTGAGTGACATCCGCACAGACTGACTTCAGGGGGCATCAGCATGGGAGCCCCTTCGACCGTCCGATCATTTCCAGCCACACCCCGTCTTTCCTTCAGGAACCTTCAAGGTACTAACAGTTATTCCTAGACTGGTGGCTTGGTGCCTAAGGCACCTGACTGCTAACCAGAAGGCTGGCAGTTCAAACCCACCAGCCACTGCTCGGAAAGATGACTGGGCAACCTACTTCCGTAGAGATACGGCCTCGGAAACCCAAGTGTGGTCGCCATGAGTCGGGTCCGACTTCGATGGCTGTGTGTAGACACAATTATAGTAAAACGTCACGCCTGCCTGAAGAAAAGAACTCCCATGGCCACTTCCGTGATTGAAAGCCTGTCCTGCACACCTTCTGAGAGGCTTCCTAGGGAGATACTCACCGCAACGCCTGGACAAGGTTGAGGTCCGTGAACTCATGCAGCTCCACAAACGCATGAAGCACCTGGATGTTAAACTCGTCTCTGTCAAGGGGTGGGACAGCAGGAGTCAGAGGCTGACACCGAGACGCCGAGATGCGTCCACCCCCAGCCAATCACGTCTGCACACTCAGAGTCCCAAGTCCAGTGGGCTCAGCAAGGCTGATCACCAAACCACCTCAGGCACAGCCATCCATGCAGCACAGAAGAAACCTGCCTGTGTTTACTGGCTCAACAAATACAGTCACACAGCCCCCACATCTACCAACTAATGTCCCCTCAACTCCAGTGTGACCACCACCGCCGCAGTAGGAAGAACCAGGCATGTTTGGAGGCTGTGTCTTCCTACCACCCCTGCCCTGCATCCCCA